TATTACACAAGTGGAGTATCAGTAATGATTAACCTGTAAAAGTACGTGCAGTGCATCCGAATCAGGGAGATACCTGTACACATAAATTTTCTGATATTAGAACTGACAGAACACTGCTTTGTGCAGTCTCTGAGCTAACTGAACGTACAAGTGAAGGGCTTTGTGCAATGTAAAGTTGTGCATTTAAGACGTAACTGACAAGCCCTTCCAAAAGTTTATCCTGCACATAAATATTGTATTTAATGCAATTTGAACTCTGGAAGTAGAGAAAATTAACAAATGCAACATTTACCACTGAAAAACAAGTGGTTTGCAGAGATGCAAAATACATAAAACTTCTGTAGCCCTTCACTTGTCTCTAGAGTAAAGGAAATATGGAAAGGAAAGTAGAACTCGCAGCTTAAAAGTGCTACAGTTAACACTAATACCTAAACTGTAAAGGTAACAGTTTACACAAACAGCTGTTACTACTTAGACAAAAGGCTGTTTTCATAAATTTCAGCATAAATACAATCAGTGATGTGATATGCAAAATGTGACCACAGGTCTCATTTTACACAATATCCTTTGCTCTTTAATGATTGAATGTAAATGTATATTATAACAACAACAACAACAGCAACAGCAACAATAATGTGATTCAATCTGATACTTGGCACAAGTACTTACAAATCCAGCAGTTAATAAGTTATTGATGATACAAATATCCCCCCCCTCCCACAAAGAAAACTAATTTACTATAAAATGACATTTCAGATATTGGTACAAACTGTTAACTAATACCATGAGAAAACTTCAATGGCAATAGGTAAAGCAGGGATGAAGACATATGAAAATGTGGCCATATTCTCCACTAAACAAGGGTGTCCCACAATGAAAAACAGGGAATATGAAGGTATGGAATACTGCACTTGAAGAGACACTTCGTTTTTTAAAGAACAGATATTTAAGTGCAGAATGGTGTCAGTATACAATCATGCAATAAAATATCCAGCTACTGGTTAAACAGTATTGTTTTCCTTCCACATGCACCAATTTTTCATGCAAGATAATGTTCACTGCCTATTTTAAAGCCAATACAAGTAATAAATGTTTTAAAACAAACGCAAATGAAATGCTGGGAAGGGCATGTAAAAATATCTCAGTTCTTTGGCCTCCGGAAGAATGTCAACATTACTTATGCCAAATGATAGGGATGAAAGAGTTGGCAAGTTCATGCATATGGATTATATTTCATGCCATTAATTTAATGGAAATTAGAATAAATTCTTTACTGCATTCAAAATATAACTAAACTGAATGTAACCAAAAGTTTTTGAGGGACTGTTAGTGCCATTGGACGGCCTAAACTTGTCATACAGACAAAAATTATATCATAACAGTAAGACTGGAGGGACAGAGAACAATTCTTCGTATCCCAACAAGACTTGTCAGGCTGAAAGTTCAAAGTGGCAAGTGACATCAGAGTATGTCATTCTTGAAGACAGACAAGCAATTTGAACCTTTCAGCATTAACTAAAAATTCTGTAATGTTTTCCTTGCAACTAAAAACTGTAAAAATCTCTTCTTTAGATTTTACATACTGCTTTCAGTTGCCATGGAACTAATGCAAGTAACAAAACAAGTATATATTTCCTGTTATGCAATGAAGATGGTGATATGGTACAATTGAAAGATTGACCCTGCAGCTCAACAAAAATCCCATAAAAGGAACATGTAGGCTACTTGTATCTTCACAAGATACATGAAGACTGGACTGGTGTATGAGATATTTCATCAGAAAGAACTCAATTTTAAAGGCCTGTTCTTGTAATAATCTGTTGCAGAGATACAGAGAAACATCCATACGTATATGGTTCTGCAAACAGTCATAGTTAACTTTGGGTGCTACATTACTGTTACAATATCCAGAAATTACTGTGAGTGTAAATGAGAAATTCCATGAATTATTCAAATTACTATTTTTACATTAAAATTATGTTAGCCTCTACTTTTTTTTAGTTTAGTATTTGAATACTATATTTAGGTACTTGTTATTTAATTTATCACTAGGAAAGATGAGCTCAATATTCTTGATGAGGCTTTAACACCTAATGATGCTCAAGTAGCTTCAAAATCATCATTAGTATCACTTTCAGTACAAATGCACACTCCACAAACCATTCTACTCCTCTGCTTATGAAACATTCTGCTTTCATTCAAATATAGAGAAAAAAGGCAGTAGAATGGGACAGTGGAGCAACTATTTACAGACTTCAAGAATGCCTATAATTCAGGAGAGAAATATGGTTGTGTAGCGCATTCTCACGGAATTTGGTATATAAGTATACAAAAATAGTTAGGCTAATTACAATGTGTTAAATAAAACATATGGTATAGGAAACAATATGCAAACATTTGTCTGGTGCATTTTATATTCAGAATATTACAGTCTGGAAAAGGAGATATTTTAGCATCATCAATTTCAACTCTGCTTTAGAATATGCCATTAGGAAGTTAAAAGAAGAGAGAGACTGAAAACGAATGGGACATATCAACTTATGGTCTACACAGACAATGCTAATTTATTGGGTGAAAACATAAATACCACAAGAGAAAGAAGAGACACTACTCGTAGTAATGAGGCTGGAACAGAAATAACCACAGCGGAAATTATGTATGTTCATGTCTTGTCACTAGAATGGAAGTTAGAATCAAAGAAGCTATAAATCGTTTGAAAAGGCAGTAGCAAATACAAATTTAATATATGATGAAGTTAGCAGCAGATTAAACTTAGGAATATTACCATTCAGTTCAGAATATTTCCTGTCTAAAAACCTAAAGATACAAATATGTATAATTACATAATTTTATCTGTTGTTTTGTAAGGGTGTAAAATTTGGTCTGTTACCCTATGAGAACACATATTTAGAGTGTCTGAGAATGAGCTTGGGAAGAATATATGGACTCATAGCAGCGTGAGGATGGGGAAAATGACACAGAGCACTGTTCACCAAACATTATTAAGATGATCTTTTCTAGGAGGATTAACTAAGTAGGATTTGTACTATACAGAATAAGTTGAGAAATGCACACAAAATTTTGACTGGGAAACCTGAAGGGTACAGGCCAGTTTGATCACCTCTGTGTTGATGGGAGCATAAGAGTGAAATTAATCTTAAATAAACTGGAATCATCTGGCTCAGGGCAGTGTCCAGTAGAGGGCTTTGAAAACAGTAATGAAGCTTTGAGTTCCAGGAAAGGTGAGGAATTTTGCAGCTTTCCAACAAGGACCCTGCTCACTGCTGAAAGGAGTTTAGGAACTCAGATCCACGTTACTTTTTCTTTTATTCTTTTCTTTTCTAGTTATACAATTTAAATAAATCCCAGCACCTGGAAGATTCTACATAATCAATCAATAAATTCTGAAAATGAATTCCAAATTAACTTACAAAGTTTGAAATCACATTATAATTTTAATTATGGTAGTTGAACATGCAAACTATTTTTTTTTTTTAAATGGAACAAACATTCAGGTGAATTAGAAATCTGTTCACATGAAGTAATATGAGGAATATCAAAGGCAGTGAGTATCTCATTTTCTTATCTAATGGCCGAATAGGACTTTTATAAGAAATTATTACTCAGAATAATCGTTTACTATTAATTTTCATTCTTTTACTCATATATTTACTATTAAACTGTTGTAACTGTTGAATGTAAAGGTAGGTACTTTAATGATTATTTAAACACAAGTAATCAGTGTCTTTATTCCCTTTCCATTTCTGGGTTTGAAGACCTTTATGGACATAAAATACCTTGAGCTTCCAAAGTTTATATGGCAAATATTTACTTCTTTGGAAATATATGTAATAAAACTCATCAGACACAACTTGCATAAAGAAGAGCAATATTTCAAGAATGCACCCACCCCCCACCAAATTATGGGTTTTTAATCCACATAATCTCCTTTCTTACCAGTCTGTCTGGATACATCACCTTTGAAACTATTTGAAATAAAGCATTATGCTTCCTCAGGAACCTACTATGTTCATAAAAAGACACATTTGCAGGAGAGTCTACTATTAAAAGTGGATTCTGTTAATACAGTGAACTCCCCATTTAGAGTTTCTTCACAGGCCAGTGGATCTGAACACTAAACAAGAAAACCTTACATGGAGGTAATTTAACACTGAGATTATTGACTTGGGATCACTGGAATTTGATGTTAAATGAGGGAAAACCTTAAATAAAGGGACATTAAAATGAAGTTCCACTGTAGCAAGAAGATAATTGGTCTTCCTGAAAATTAAAGACTTCTGCAAATATCTGTTCTCTAACATCAAAAGGATGTTGATCCATTATGAAGTCTGGCAGTGAAACAACTTCTACAAGTGCAGCTGCAGTTCAGCAGCTCTACTGTGCCGGCAGGTGCTGCAGGTAAGCTGAAGTTGAATTCAGCAGACCAATTCTCTGCTTCTGCTTTCTTTGCTCAGTCATCTGAAAATGGAACAAACAAAACTGACAGACAGAAATGACATGGAAACAGTTATCATAATTTAAAAAAGAATTTACAGAATATAGTTTACTTGCCAGACCTCTAATCAGTACTTATTTAAGCACCAAAAAAAAAATCCTTATCATAACAATAGCAATTAACATCTCAAACAAAAACTGCAAAACAAGTGTTTGGAGACCTGTCATTGTTGTCATTACATTAACAAATATGGGTAAATTTTAAGAACATATTCTACAGTTATGTATCTATATTTTTGCTTTAATATTCTGTGAAGAAGGCACATGGTCAATATCACAGTCTTTTGGGAGCGATGCCACACAGCGTGGTAGATATTACTAACATTTCAGAGTAAACTCTTACATCCACATCCAGGGTAGAAAATGGAGTCACTTTTCATTTTCATTTATTCAACCACGCATTCAATTTAGGTTGTCTCTTTAGAAATACAAAATAAAGAGGGAAGTGTACTATGGTTGGATAAAAATTGGATGTGCCACATACAGCTTTGCTAAATCCTGTTCTAAAATGACTGACCCCTAATAATTTTTCAACTACAAGAGAAATCTGCATGGTATTTGATACAAAGGGCAAATCATTACCAGTGACCCAGAAGCTTCATTTAAAAAATTTCCTCCTCTTATTATTTCATAATTTGTGCTCTGCTGTTACAGTAAATCACTACACTCTGAATAATTTGTTTTTCTTTGCTATGAATAACTTGTCCTCTTTGACAAACAAGTTTAATTGAGCTGCTCCTCTCTGCAGTTCCTAGTAAGACGATGTGAAAAACAAAACACAACAGTACTGATAGAAAACTGGTAGAGATCTTAGAATTGGCTGACATCTTTTAATTGCATATTTTGAAAGGTCCCTTATGCTTCAACATTGAAATAAAATCTCTACTCAGACAGATAGTACACTGAATGATGTTTTAAAGTGAACTGTGTACTAAATACTTTTAGGTAAACCAAAAAGCAACTGTGTGAGTAATCTATACGATAATTGTTTTCTGACAATGTTATGACAGTCCTTAATTTCACTTTGAACTCAATGTCTTGTTAACTGGTTAAGGACATTTGAAATAGTGTGTGCGTATTAGTGGTAGAACCACAGATCGTAGTTTGATCCATCAAAGGGACAAACCAAAGGAACATATTATTAAAAAAAGCAACTCAAACTAATAATTAAAACACTAATATAATATAAATAAATATACAAAAAACAACAGAAATTTAAAAAGTAAACTAAATACAACATAAAGTAATTAAATAAAAATGTGAAATATCCTGGGTTAACACCTACCACATACTTTTTCAGTTTTAACTGAGGACAAAAACTCAAGTAAATTTCACAAATGTCATAAATTAGAAAGCATACCTGATCTCTCAGTTCTGTTAACTGCTGCGAAAGATTTGCCACTAGTGCTTGTGTTTTCTCCAACTGCACCTGCAATGTTCGCAGTTCAATTTGTTCGGCCTCACCTTCATCTGCTGCAAGTGACATGGCCCTCAGTCTTGGGAACCATTCCAAGTTCCGATCCTGCAGTGCAATTACAGTTACTGTAGAATCCTACATTATCTTGATCAGCATGTCAGTTTATGTTGGAAATAAGTCTTCTGAAAGGGCATGGTCAGCAGCAAGCAACCATGGCAACTTACTCACTGTATAATATAGTTTGACTTATATTAATATCTTCTATAAGACATAAAGTATAAATAAGTGAGAGACAGTACCTTCACCATTGCATACACATAACTTTCTGGTCCTGTGAATTCAGTTGGGTCCTTCACTTTCACAAGGACAATGAAGTACAAGTAGTGCCACATGTTATGCTCACATTTGATGTGTTCTTCAAAGCTCACTGTTTTATTATCAAATGCAGATCGATTCAGGCCTGAAATGTAATTAAGAAACAATTTCAAGAACTGAAGAAAGCAGCCTTCTTGGATGTGGCGCCGTGTAGATATAGTGTTAACCGACGTTTCGGAGGAACGTATCACCTCCATCTTCAAGATAGAAGGGGGGGAAAAAATTCTGCAAGTGAAGAACCAGCGTGAGCAGGTGCAAATAGACTAATGTCAAAAATAAACCCAGCTGTATAAGAGCAGGAAGGGAAGGGAGAGGGGCTACATGGGAAATCAGTAGAGAGGAGAGGGGAAGGGTCTGGGGAGGTGGGCCAGCAGGTAGTAGGCTACAGCAGGTATAGAATATTGTGTCAGGGAGAAAGGCAAGATTTTAAGAACTGGCTCATGCAAACATACTGTCAGCTGAAGTGTGAAGAGTATGAGGTAGTCAGTAAATAGGTTATAAATGGAAGTAATACGTTTTCTATGTGTATCATTATGAAGCAGCAGCTTCATGACAGTTGCAAAGGTGCATGCACATGTTCAGAGGCTGGTTTCAGTAGTAAAAATGGCGACTGTGCTTGAGGAGTGTAGTACTAACAAACAGCAGCATTCTGTTGTATGTTTTTGTGGGGCAAAAGAACATAGTGCAAAGTATATTCATGAACAAATCTTTCCTGCTTATGGTGGGAAATGTTTATTGTGTAAAGTGGTTCACAACTGGGTTGAGAAATTCTCTCCAAGACATTCAAAAGTTGCAGATGAAGCCTGACCAGGTCATCCTGTTGAGAATGCAACAGAAGCAACTGTGCAGGAAGTGCACTAAGGTGTTCTCATGGCTTAGCATACAGCAAAATGCATGATCATTTCAAGTTTCAGAAAATGTGAGCATGGTGGGTGCCCAGAGAACTGAAGGACAGAGAAAAAAATAACCAAATGGGTCTGTCCTTGAAACATCTCCTACAGTATGCAGATGAAGGAGAAGATATACTTAACAGGATTGTTACTGAGGAACTATGGTGCAGCAGTACCAACCAAAATCAAAGCATGCTTCAATGCACTGGAAACATCCTAGTTCACTTTGAACCAAAATGTTTAAGGTTATGCCATCAGCTGGGAAAGTTATGCTTACCACATTTTGGGATTCTCAGTATTGTTAGCCCATTCACAGAAGAATGCTGAAAATGTGAATTCTGCATGTAGTGTGAAGTTCTATTGAAGTGTTGGGACGCTATTTACAGAAAACGTCCAGGCCAACTGGCAAGAGGGGCACTGCTTCATAATGACAGTGCCAGACCCCATACAGCCTGAGCAACCCAGGAGAGAATTCAAGAAATACAGTGGGAGCTTCTTCAACATCCGCCTTACAGCCCTGACCTGGCCCCTAGTGACTTCCATCTGTTTGATCTGCTAAAATATCATGTTGGTAGCAAATCTTTCACTGATGATGATGAGGTTGAAATGGAGATGTGGAAGTGACCGAGACAGCAGTCAAAAAATTTCTGTGCTGCAGGTTTTGACACATTAATAAAGTGATGGAACAAGTGTATAAATGTTGGTGGAGGATATGTCAGTAAATAAATGTTATACATTTTACATCTATTTTTGACATATTTACTGACTCTCCCTCATAAAAGCACTGTATTTATCCAAAACTAATGTGACCTCTAAACCTAAGTTTCTCCCATTGGAAATGAGAAGCATAACCTTCTTTGTGTTTGTTCATGAAATGAACATGTACCAGAAACTTGAAACCCAGGTTCAAACCATACTTAAGAGTACAGAAGGAACATCAAACATGAACTATCTAGTTCAGTAAGAACATGTTTTATGGCTCTGTTTATCCATAACTGAATTTGTTACTGCCATTCAATAAATGGAAACCATGATACTGTAATGTGATAGTGTGACTATAAACAGGGTTTGGATTGGTAATTGGATTTACCAAACTCTTACAGATTTGTTTCTACAAGTAATTATAACCATTTCATTAATTCACACACTTTACAGTTCACTAGAGCACACACTTAAGTCTTCTCAGCCTTCTGTGTCTTCACCAGTCATCTGGTAATGGCTTCCAATGGCAGATGTTCCCCTTCCTCTGGGTTCCTGAGCTATCCTCAGCCTCAGCTACCAGCTTCTCACAGCAACAGCTCACAACAACTGAACCCCAGCACACTCCCTCACTCACTCACTAACTCACTAACCAATTCTTCACTAACTCCTTGCTAACTGTCTTGGTCATGACATCTCGGTACAGACCACACAGAAAACACCATTCCTCTGCTGCTGTTTATAGCCCATTACTTAGCAACAGCTGTTGTATCATTACCTATCAATGGGTTTATATGCTACAATACGAAGACCTCCATGGATGAACAAGTAACATTCTAAAAATTTTATAAAATACTGACACAATACAAATTCTTTGTTAATCCTTTCAAGACCAACCCTGAATACTCTTTTCTTCATACCGTGGCATGTAGACCTGCTACTAGACAATGGCTGTGAAATATGCAGCTATACTATAGCCATTGCTAGGTAATGGCTCTGTAAACAATAGCAACTTCTAGGTAATGGCTGCAACAAATTCGTAACATGCAATACTGGAATAACTGGGAAGCGGAGTTCTCTACATGGTCCATGTGAGAGCTAACATCATGCAACAATAGAAGACAGCAATTAGAAGAGTAGGAGCTAGTTGTGAGATAGTTGCTGGCCACTAAGGGCATGAACAAGGAAGATTAGGATGCTACGGCATTGGAAGCCGTTACCAGGTGACAACCGGTTAGATACAGCAGACTGAGCAGACTTCATAGATGCTGTTGTGAAATGCAGGGCATGTGAACTAGCATCAGTGCTACAGTAATTTGTAGTTATTTTCTGAGAGTTCAATAATTCCAAACTCTGTCTATAATCACACTGATACATCTGACACTACAAACTTCGAATACACTTGTGCTATGTTCTTTGAACATTGGAATTTTTGCACCTATTCAAAATTTGTAAGTTGAAGACACAGTAAAACTTTTCTCATGCAAAATTGAGAAAATATCAAGGAAATAGTAAAACCTGAAATAGTGCCTGAAAAATGTGGAGCAACTCATGTACCTCAGCAGTCTCACTACAAGCACTGAACTTAACGACGAATATGTCCATGTTTCATATCAAATAACATATGAGCACTGGGAATGTGTGTAAGATTGTGAGCCACAGTTAGATCTGTCAAGGTTTCAGCGTTGCACAGAATGTCCTATGGAAAAATGGTGAACTGTCAACAACTAACACTATGGCTGTGTTGACTGCTGTTTGACTGATCAAGAAATTCTCACATTTCAGAGGAGCCTGATGTTTACCCTGAAGGAGGTGGTGGCACATTTCTCCAAAACAGTGGTAATCAACTACAGTGTCACAAAGACCAAAATCTCAATTTTCACAGCCTTGAAAACTGCAAAGCATAAATTCTCTGCTGTTATAGAACCTAGAAGATCACTGGTATCATTCAGAAGCCCATAAGATTCTATTCTGGGCAACTCAATCAAGTCACATCCTTATAGTACATTTCTCCAGGGTCCATAAAATTGTCACATATTTGTGTGTGTCACTATACATGGGGTATGGATAGGTGAACAGATTTACTGACCACTTATATACACCACTCAAAACTACACTTTACAGATCACTGACACACACAGACTAGTATACTCAGTCTATTACAGTCTCCACTAGCCATTTCCTGGCAATGGATTTAACACAGGAACTATAACAGTCTCACAGAATTATGCACTCCAGATATCACACTTATAACCTTTTCACAGCCGCATTTTTGAAACTAGTTCTTTTCTGCATAGCTTTCATCCCATACAAAATTCCAATGAAATGCAAACCCTCAACTAACTGGGTTCCACGCTAGCGGCATTTCACACCAACTTCCTAGTCTTCCCTTCACAGGCTGAGTTTCAACTGACAACTGATTCACCACCCAAATACTTCAATTTACTTCACACCACTGCCCTCAGATGGCCTGTGGTCCTTGTTACATAGGCTCGTGGCACACGCAACAAAAAACACAGCCTCCAACAGTCCCACCGTTTTTGTCATGGGTTGTTACCTAGCTTTAGCCCGGATATCGTTTCTGCAGGAATGTGCTTATCAAGCCGTTACCAAGCAATGCATGTTCCATCTTGCAATCGTTGCTTAGCAGGACTACTACATGTTACATTGCTCCCTCCTTAAGGCTATTTGTCCCAAATGGCCTACAGGCATACTGCCACTTCGTTCCCAGGGCTGTGCTTGCAACATATATGCTTGGTTTTCTGCAGTATTTACTCTCCAAACTGCACCCTCTGCTCCCTCCTAAAGCCGCTCAACCCAAATGGCTCCCTGATAAGGTGCAAGCCGGACCACCGATCAGTGGGGGCAAAAGTTCCAAGAATGGTTATTGCTCCTATATTTATCGCTCTTACTCTGTTGTTAGTGGTTGCTTCTTTCATTTCGAAGGGGGCTGACCCCTCCACAATCTCCAACCACTCAATTTCCGCAGTCTAATGGAAGTCTCAACTATCTTCTTTGGATCTCCAGCTCTACAGTCTTGCTGAAGATCCTACTGAGTACTGTCCTGCTTCCCAGCTGTGGCTCCTGTCTTGACTCTTGGTTCCTTATTCCATTGATGTCCTTTAGGGGCTCCTCTTGCAACACTGTTCTGGCCTTGTCCCTTATGCTGTGCAGGAATGGCATAGTAGGTCATACCTCTGCAGGTGGTGGCCAACTGCTTCCAGTTCCCATGCAGCTTCTTCAGTCCTCTGACAGGTTTCACTGTGCTCTCTTCCTTTGGAACCTCCTCATGCTCTGCCTCGAACTCCACCCAGAATGAGGTTGGCTCCTTGCTCTCCAGACAAGCCTCCATTGCATCTTGGCAGGCCAATGTCTCTTTTTGCCATGCCCCCATTTTTGCTATCAAGGCATCCATCTTCTCTTGACTGGTGTCTATCTTGGTCAGAATTTCCTTTAGGGTGGAGTCTGTTTTTGCTTGGCTGGCATCCATTTTGGCCAGCAGGCATTCTATCATCTGTTACATTTCCATAGCGTGCCAATATGACTTCTTACTGCAGTCTCCAATCCAACCACTTCTGACACCAGATGTA